CACACACACACACACACACACACACACACACACACACATACACACACACTTTAGTGTGAGTCTGTCTCTCGAAATTGTTTCAACCTTCAGGTGCCAGTAGGTGGATCGACAAGAAATTTTTAGGTAGATCGGTTTACTTAGCCTTCTCGGCTATTTGAAACATACCTTGTTTACATCTACATGTGTACTCTATTAACTATTTACAAAATTAGTTTTCTGCTTCAATGTATTTTATAATTTTTCTTTGAAATTCCTTAAGTTGTTCACAATTTTTTTATTTCTAACGGTAATTTCTTATATAATTCAAATCTGTCAAATCGTCTGTTTTTTGCCTGTAGAGTTTTACTGAAATAAATGACTAAATGTTGAGCTTGTCTTGTTTCCCTTATTGTATTATCTTTCACTATTTAGATTTTGTTTACTAAATATCCTTTCATATGATTTTTAATTACTTTAAAAATAAAAATTAGTGTCTTGTAATGAATCCTCTTTTGCATTGACATAAATTTCAATTTCTAGCATATCTAGCACTGGAGTGTATCTATTGCATTGAATTATTGCTCTCATGACTATTTTGTTGTGTCCTAAGTTTTTAATTTGTTTTTTTGAGTTTCACCTATAATTATACAGTAATTAAAATGTGCAATTATGGATTTATATATCAAAAATCTTATATAGCTATTTATATATTGCCCAATTCTGTTTAAAATATTAATCTTTTTTCAGTTTTCTTCACTACGTGTTCTTTAAAATTTAATTTACTATCGATAATTACTCCCAAATATTTCATTTTGTATACCAGTTGTATTTCCTTTAAGTCCGTTGTGATTTATTTAGTTTCCCTTCTAGATGTTTCTTCCACTATTCTTCTAGATTCATAAATTTAGTCTTTTCAGTATTCATTATTAATTTATTTATCCTAAACCATTCTTGTATTGCAATAAATACACTTTGCAGTTTAAATTCAATTTCCGGTTTTCATCAATTTCTGTTTCTCCAATTACAAACAATGTGTCATCAGCAAATAATTAAATTTTACTTCATTCCAAATATGTTTCTCATATACTTGATTAAGTCATTAATGTAAATTATAAACGATATGGGACCCAAAACTGACCCTTGCAGAACACATAAATCTATGCTAACTTCCTCCGAGACAATATTAATATATTTTACTTTTTGCTTTCTCTTGTTAAGATATAAAATAAACCACTTTTTGCCGTCACCTTTGATTCCGTATTTGTAGTTTGCCAAAAAACATTCTGTGGGAAAATGCATTTGATGGAGATATACGTTGTTGCTGATTCTTATACAACCCCGTGTGCACAGATGTTCGTCATATACATGAAATCCCTTTGACGGCGCCAGAATGTGACCTCGTTCATAACGAGTTGCATCAAAATGGGGGAATTATCTCTCATGTAACTCCGGTAAGTGAAATTTCCCACCTTAAGTGCTTTGGTAAACAGTTATCATTTTCGTTTTCGACCCCTCTTCGTGCCATAAAAGTCTGTAACTTTTATTCTGTGGCTTATGTACTCGAAAACTTTTATTATTACTTATTGGAAAAAGTTGCCAATAACTGAACTCCACGTTCGCACGTACCAGCTTGGATGATTTCCGTTCACTCTCCCTTTGAAGCCGGATGTTTCAAACGACTGTGACGCCTGGTGCTAGTGTTTTCAATTGATTCGATTTTGTCGTACATGTACACATATTCGTGTTGGATGCTATTTTTTCTCGCTTTTAATCAGCGTATTACCAGCTAGTCCTGTCATCTAGTTATATTTTCTAGCCGGTATCTAGTTAGAGATTCAATAGTCCCCCCCTTTCCAGAATCCACGCAAGGTTTTCGGGGCTATTTGTGACACAATTCTCCGCCCTCAGGCATTTGATATGATATAGTTAACTAGTAAATAAACCTACTAAAACGTGAATACAATTATAACTTTCATTCTGTTAACGTTTAGAACTTACCAGACACATGAGTGTTTTCCTATCATAAGCAAGTTCTTTCCTATCAATCATAATTTCTGAATTTTAATATTGTATTGAAAATAATTTTAATTTTTGTACTCTATAATTTCAAAATTCAATTTTACAGCCTGATGATGGGGATAACAATCCCCGAAACCGTTGCACGATTATGAAATAAATTAATGTTACAAGAAATTGTCAAAAAATATGAACCCTAACTCTTTAGAGAATCATAATTAAGACAGACAAATGCGGAAATAATTTTAACTTTAATTATTCAATTAATGAATAAAATTGATTTTGTGTAGTACCATTTACACGGCTTGAACAATCTCTTCCATAAATGTTATATAGTACATTTTCCAAATTCTCAAGTGAGGGAAAAAATTAACATTTGAAGACGTACGAAAATAAAATGTTTTGTTACGTATTACTAATACTGTAACGTCGTGTGTAGGGATCTACACCACAAGGAAACAGACACGAGTGAGTATATACAAGTTTTATTTACACACTGTACATATTTACATCCCTCACTCTAAGGCGGTTTGCCAGAGCTACCACTGCAGCCCTCCTCTCCCTACGTGCGCCTTGCGGCGACGCCTACGACCAGCCTGCAAGGCCGCGTCGCAGATAGGCACCTGGTGTGCCCCGGCAGATTGACGATCTGCCCGAATGTGTTTGAAGAACACATCACCCTGTCCGAACTCGTCGAACACCCACGTGCCCTCGGCACTCCGCACCAGCCTGGGCGGACAAAGTTTTTGTGGTCTAGCCACGAGGAAACCAAAATCGTTACCCACCCGCGCCGTCTCGCCACGGCGTCTTTATAGGTCCAGGTCACCTGACCTCCTACGTCACTACTCCCCACCCCCGCGCGGTGGAAAGCCTTTCCCTGGCGCTGCCTGGCCCACGGACCATTTCCTGTCGGGAAAGTCCCGTCTTTGTTTGGGCGTCTATCTTTAGATCCCCCAGCCCTCTACCTTGCACTCGGCTGCTGCCAAGCCGTGACGCTACAATACTTACGAAGCCTATTTGAAATTTTTAAGGGAGCACGGCGTCTTTGCCCCTCCACCCCGTGCTCACGTCTGTCTCCCACACAAGTCGATGGACAGACAGTGCGACACGGGTTCGTCGCCTCTGGAGAATAAGAGAATCTCTTGCTGGGGGTCAGTTCCCAACGAGCTTGCCCTCCGTAGCTCTACACTTACCCCTTAGCATTGCTACCATGGGACGACGGCACTGGATGACTTGACCCCACCAACTTACAAGTCGTCGGTTAGCTTCACACTGTTTCGAACAGCGCACGGACAACTACTGTAGACTGACAAGATCATGGTCACCAGCACCACTCATGATGGGATTAGTAATCCATCGTGACAACCAATCTGTTAATTTACCACCAATATGTTACCTTGTCAATATAATTGATTTGTCAAACACGCACACAACTTTTCACTAATTGTTGTTGCTTCTAGCTTTTTATGGTAAATGATAAAGTTACTGTAAAAAACTAAAAATGATGAGCTTTTATACACGTATATAAAATACTTGTTTAAAACCTTGTATAATAGCTTCGTCAATAAGCCTTTCATTTATATAATAAATGCATTATTTTATTTATTTAACGACTAAAACATAAAACTGTCGTAAAACTAGACACATAATACAGCGAATCTGTACACAATTGTGTGATGTCTTGGATACTTATCCTAACACATAATTATTAAGTTGAATTATGGAAACGGGTAGAAACCAGCTTTTTGCCAACAAGCGACAATAAAATATTCGATCCCATCTAATAAACTATTTTGTAAAAGCAAATCCGCTACAATTTGTGCTAGGGCACCTTTCGTGCCGTACAGAAGGAGTAGATTTACTGCCGTGAGAACATGGTAAGTGATAATTTGAATTACTATATCCCCCACAGCTCAAGAAAACGTACAAATAATATAGCTACATTTATGTCCAGAGCAAAACAAAGGACCAGCACCTGGAACTGGAAATGTACGTATCGTGAATAGGTTCAAATAGTACCGAAAATAGATGTGGAGGGTGGAGAAATGAAGTTGAAAGGGATGCGTTTTTGGAAGGTGACTAATGATTTGTTGCGGCAGCTTACTACCGAGTGTATGTTGTCCAGGACGGTTATGTGGAGATCATGCCTTGTCGATTTCTTTGTATGTGTAATGTATGTGCCATTTGGATGTATTAGTAACTTGCGTAGTTATTTTAATCGTTTGATATCATATAGCAATATGTTGTAAAATACTGTACATGTTACATATGTAACTATGTAAATATTTATAGTCAGATGTGGATTTTGACACTTGATGAATATTCTTACTTTTATTTTTATTAATTTGTGAGTTAACGGGTGTATAAATAGAAGGAAAGGGTAACTCTTTCCTGGCAGTAGTTAACAGGTTACGAAAATATGTTGGCGTCTAACATGGAACGACAAGGACGATGTGCAGATAGCACACTGCATCACTTTGGACGTGCATGACTTGACGCATATAGCATATATTTTCTCATCGGACATTCAAGGAATAATAGTATATTGTTTTATTATATAGAGATTTCACGATGTAGTGTCGCCCTGTGATGCTTTTTTGGGCAGGTGCACAAATCTTTATCGAGTATTCTCAGTTCTTCTTTGAAAGAAGATTAGGATACAAGCACCGTGACGAATATTTTACTTCTTAAACTTAATATTTTAATTTATCTTTTGATAAAGCACGATGTGCTTAAAGTTGATTGAACACAAACAACGGAGCATCACAGCTGTCGTCGGCAACTCGTATGCGTCATGAATATCGCGCAGGTCATGCCAAATACCCCTTGCGGCACAGCTGCCATGCAAACTGAGAAATGCATTTTTTACTGATTGCTTTTGTAAAATCGTATATTTAGTATGTTTTCACGCACACATTGTTTCACCTTCATGATTCACTTTTAATTTTTTACATCGTTTATCTTTATCATTTAATGTATTATGCATTGTTTACCTCTCCTTGCAGGACAAAAACACCCAGTTGCGGTGCGAGACTATCAACGATGGCTTTTATCATCCCTACTGTGAATTGGTAAGTCACGGACATTTGCATATACTGTTCTCGAGATACCAGGGGCATCGTAGTAACACACAATGTTTAGCATCAAACCAATCCGCCCATCATAAACGCAGCTCTTGTGTTGTATGATATTGATTAATAGAAGTGAATTTCTCGGCAATTTGGAAGTTACATACTAGGTTGCGCTGGCTTTAGTTTAGTTAGAAGTGGCATACGTATAAGACGTCATATTAAACAATTGGGTGTATTGTTTATGTTTCAATGTTCTTTGTGAATTATTGTTTATTATTGCCAGAATAAACAATACAAAATTAGAAATTCTCAAAGATTGTACATCATAATAACAGGTACCTTATTTGGTCTGCCTTGTCTAATCTGTAAAACTGATCGCATCCCCATGGCGTTGTGACGAATTCAACGACTATTTCATTTTTTCCTTATGGAGCTCTGCACGTTGCCACACTGAATGTATTCTGTTCATATTCTAGCAATTCGAGATCTATTTTTCTCCTGAATATTCTGTTCTCATTAATCGGGTTTTAACTAACTTGTTCTCCTATTCTCTACTAATTGTGAACACATACCCATTTTCTACTCCTTACAAACTAAACAAAATATTTTTACATAATGCTCTGACGACCGTAGCTCGTCTCGCTATTAAATCCATCTTAGTTCGAATTCAAAAGAAAAGTTTTCCTTTTCACCTACAATGTGTGCTAAAGTTCACTTTTTTTTGTTGTTACCGTCTCAAATCGATGCGCTCTTGTCGTCCCCGCAACCATGCATCTAGCATTCTCTTGTCATGTCAACAATGTCCTATGTTATTTCAATATACTTTTTCCCAACAATTTTCTAAATTATCCAAACATTATTTAACCAATAGTATATTTTCATTTTCCGATGCCTTGCATCCCCAATGTCTCATTTTAATTTCTATCTTGACGAAATTGTATTTTACCTTTTATATTGCGTTCATGTTTTTGATTTTATAATAAAAAAACCCATAAGGTATTTTGCATTCCATCAATATATGTAGTGACGTAACGTATTCCCATAGCACTCTCGTGTAGACAATTAAAGATTTGTATGATTTTGATATCAAATTAGCCAAATGTTTAATAACAGGGACAAATGAGCGATACATTTTTTTCGTATCAAATTAGCAACAAAAAAGTGACAACTTTTGAATTAATTTTAATATTTTCTGAAAACAATGCAGTTGTCACTTGACGGCAGTCACTGTACGTCACTTGACGGCAATGCAGCTGTGACTTGACACCTCGGGTGGGGGTGGGGGTTTACCGCTTGGAGCACCTGCTGCCTCGCCTAGGGACGCGACTTCCTCCTCCGTCAGTGACGTCTCCCTTTTTCCTTCAGTAGTTACTTGCTCTCTCGCCACCCCCTCGCGTTTTTGTACAGCGCTTTCAATGTGTTGTTCTATGTAATCATTTTTAATTTGGCTATTTAGGTGGCGGTGCTGTTGCCAAAAATGTATACTGTGAGTTTTCCAACTCTGCCGCTCAAGCCCTTACTTCACGGTGGCATTATGTCACTGTTTTTCGTGTTTCGGTCATGCCGCTAGATGTCGCATGATCGCGTCCGTACCGGGCACTACTATACGGTCGTGGTCAAGATCTTTCCGGCAAGATATTGCTGATCGTTTGACATTAGGGCCATTTGTTGCCGTGTTTGGTGGTGTCACAAGGAAAATGGCGCGTGAACTTAAGTGAGGTTGTACCTCACTTCCCGACGTAATTAGCGGAAGGCAGAAGCTGCGACTCGCGGTCGCACTTATTGTGCTAAATGGGATGATGTAACACCTACAATTGGTGAGGACGTGTGCCTCTGTTTTAAGAAGAAAGAGAGAGGGGCTTGTGCAAATTAGGTACAGGAGTATCAATATTTTGTCATAAAACAAAATGATTTCGTGGACTTTGATTCATGTGGGAGCAAAGTAATTTTCTTTTTATAAAAATTGCAATTAATAATTCTGCAAAAAGTTTTTAAATATCCATTACGTACTACTTATATATTATAGATTAATCTTAAACTTGATTTAGATTAATTGATTTAGATTAGATTAATAATTTTTAACGTAAAAAATTAATAATCAGGGAGCATCTATTGCTGAACCAAAATTTGAACCTTAGATAATCAACCATAGAGGATTTAGAATATTTATTACTACTTCTTTTATTGTAGTAAACCTTTTTCATACACACATTTTACGACAAAACGCATATTACAATGGAAATATTACGTCTATGTACTACCTTAACCATACTTCCTGCGCTTGTGACCGTGGACATCATTGGCTTCTTCCAGCAGTATCTTACTCAGACTTCAGTCCAATTCTAGGCCCACCAACAGCCGACAATATCCTTCCGTGGACGGAAACACAAGTATACATTACGACCGGAATATCTTTTCTTGCGAAAAATTGGCAATGTAAAAACTGTGCAAAGTAATTAAACACGCAAAAAAACAATTGCTTTGCTTGTGCCTCAAAAACATTTAAATACGCGGTGATGTCCTTCTGTTCTCCCTTAAAGGGGTTCATCGCGTGTTGCATTTCTACTTGCACTTTCGCATTTACTTCGCTTTCTGCTACAGAACGACCCGTCGGTGTCGAACTTGCTAAACGAAGTTTCTCTAATTCAACATGCGTTCTAACTCTCCCATCTTTTCCTCGCGTTCCCATTCTTTATATCATTCTATTAATTATTTTACTACCTCTTCCTCTCACTTTAATATGTTTCGCAGATTAATGACCTATCCTCGTGGTTACTGCTTCCCCCAGTCCATTTACCACGTACTTAATGTCCTTCTTATGCCTGCAAGATACGCCATGATGCCTGATGAATTTCTACGCTGTGCACTGTAACGTATTAGCCAGCGTGCCTCGTGGCATCTATTTGGGGACGCTTGGTAGAGGATTAGCCTCGCCACAGGAAGGAGAGAAGGGTTTTTCCGTAAAGGCAAGAACGCGGAAACGGGAGACACAAGGCTTTGGGGTATCCGGCTTATAGAAACCTTTCGCTGTTATAACAAGCGGGGGCGGTGGCGTGACGTAGTAGATCACGTGGGCCTCGCCTATATAACAGAATGTACAGAGCCAGTGGGTGGGTTCTGGAGACAGTGGAAGAACCTCGTGCGTGTGCACAAAACTTGGCGCCACGACGGTGCATATGCGAGCCAGGCTCGCGGGGCTCGAGTCAGTAGTTGACGAAGCCTACGGACTTTAGCCTTGGGTAACTGCGGCCACGGGGGAGCGATGCTGTGTGCGTGCTCCGAGGTGAAGAGTGGTTGAGTGCCACGATTCACGCCAATTCTCAATCGGATAAGATCGCTCCTGCGATCGAGGCAAACCAGCCGTTGGTGCGCCAGAACGGACTTTGTGTCCCAGCGTGACATCCGGTCACGGAAGCTAGGCTTTGTGCGCGCTTCAAAAGTAGGAGTGGCGAATGCCACAATCAAAACCATCTTGAATCGGGTTTGGATCGCTCCCGCGATCAGGGGATAGTAGGTCTATCAGAGCTAGGGTGTAAGTAGATTATTAAGTTATATTTTTTGTTTTGTTTTCTTTGTTAATAAATATATTTGTTATATGAAAGCTCTGTGTCTGTGGTCGCTGTGAGTATCCATGACGTCACGGCATTATGAACACTTACGCAAGAAGTCCTTGCTGCGTGACTGCTGTCTGGTCTGGAAGTAGCTCGTCCATCCTCCCATCTTTAGATTGGTGCTCTTCGTTCCGACGATCCAGAAAGATGCTGTCCCCTTTTTGCCGTGAATTTGAATATGAGTACAATTTATGAAATACCCGTTGATCTTCGCGCATGAGTTTAAACACAACTGCTGCCGCTGTTTATGAACTGCGGACGGCCCTTGCGTTTGAGTTTAATTACAACTTCTGCCGCTATTGATGAAATAGTAGTCGGCCCATGTTCATGGGTTCAATAGTAACCGCTACCACTATTTATGAAATACGTGTCTGTTGCGTCGTGGAAGTGGGCACACAGTCAATAAAAATTATTTACAAATTTTATTTACAATATGTACAAATGTATTGAACTACCCCGAACACACTTTTCGTTATTTGACGACCACTAGCCGCGATCGTACCATCCTGCGGATACACCAAATTTGCAAAAGAGGCCCCATCTCGATTGTACGCTCCTATCGCGCCACTCATGTGACCTCCGTCACCCGGCAACGCACGAATACGCACCAGCCTGGGCGTGAATTTTGCGCAAAGCGCGAGGTTTCAAAGAACAAAACCCGCCGGCGTGAGCAAGTTGGCCCAATTTATACTCGCTGGTTCATCCCCATCTGACCACCGTTGATCGTGGGAGGGAGGTTTACTATTACGTGACACTTGCTGCAGGACAAGCCGGCGCTCACTTGACTCTAAAAATATCTCCCACTCCCAACACCGTGGCTCCTAGGTGTCGTCCAGGTATGCCAGGCTACCGCGTCCTCCTCCCACGCAGGGCAGCCAACGTGAAGCTACAATGGCATTATAAACTGATTATTTTGACATATTTCGTCAGAGAAACCTGTTTGTAACGAATCGAATAACTGTTGTCATTTGTCTTTACTTAAAAACCGGGTAACGTGTTAGAGGACCATGGATAAGCAAGCTAAACGCTTCTTAAAGTCGTGGAGGTAGAGAGCTTCTTGGTTCCGCGGATTGTGGATTAGTTGTATGCAATATTATATATGATTTGCCCGAGATATTTGCAGTAATTACTTGGTGTTTGGGGAAGTTGATAGGATTTGATGTAAGTTGTGAACCTGTAAAATAGAAGTGTTGTTATTAAATTGTTATTTTTGTTGTTGAGAGAGAGTATCATTTCTCTTAAGAAAAAGCGGTCGACGGCAAGTCAATGACGTATTTGTGACTCACAATTGAGACACACGTTGCATTCGTAAACCAAGTGCTCCAAGTCTGATATACTCAAAATTTTTACACACTCTTATCTACTTCGAACGAAAAGAAAGTTATGTAATGTTGCAGGAAAAAGTGCCGATGAATAAAACAGTTTTGTGGTTTTCTGATACCGAAAAAGTGTTTTTTCTTACTCCTTCGTAGTACATTACTTTCTCGTCACGTATAGTGTTCTTAGAATCCACGAATTTGGGGGTCCTTGAATCCGATGAACTTATTTCCTCGTAGGGGGCGTTTTCCTTATCTCTGCGCATATTCTATAATTCGTAATAGTTCGACTTACTGTTTTTGTTTTGTTTTATTCCAGGTGAGCAATCGTACTGATGTGCATAACTCAGTAGCATGCACATTCTACAACATGACTCCCGGCCAGTATTGTGTTATTGTAAGTATAAATATATTTCTGGATGTAACATTTCCTGCTTAATGTTTTGTGAGATTTACTTTACACTTTATTTGTTAAGAAATCGATTCGTGATATTAGTATTGAGAATGAAAACCCGAAAAATGTTGCAAAATATTTTGATAAGAATATAATAAACATGAAACTAATGGTGCTACGCAGAACGTACTTTCTCCCATTATTGGAAACAGTTATGTGATATTGAAATATTGTATTTTCTACCATAGTAAAGACTCAGTGATAACTTGAAAAAGTCCAATTCAACGAAGTCAAACGAACCTTGTGGTGCATATATGCGTTTATTTAGATATCCGTGAACAGTAGTCATTTCTAACATTTACAAATGAAACAAACATGAACCTGTTACAGCATTTGCAGCACATACAAAAAAGAAAAATATTTCACACAAACTTGCCCTGATTGTATGGAAGTGATCTAAGAATTATTGAATACCATAATCAGCGATCAAAACTTCTTAAAGTATTTAATTCTATTTCCTTCCATAAGAACGTCATCTATGATTTGCTTCACTTAAGATATGTCCCGCAATACCAACCTCCCGTAAACCACCCGCCATACCGCAGAGGGTCTTTTCATTAGAATTAATGTTAGAAGAGGTAGGGGCCAACCCCAACTTAAATCCCCTATGTAATAGAAATATTCCATCCTGGGAATTTTTCTTCGCTGGAAATTGGTATGAATACTGACACAATAAATATGTGCCAACTCCAACCGTTTAAAGCGACAAAACGCTGTTTTCAGAGCTAACAAGGGAACTTATTTTGTACATTGTGCTTGGCATTATTATCAATGTCTTGTAATACGAGAAACAACTCTCCAGTTAAGCAGAAAATATGGGTCTTCCCGAGTGGGTAAGTTCTTCTGAAAGTGTATAAGTGCAAGAACGGAAAAAATTCTTGAAAAGAAATAAAACTTCTAAGAGCAGCGTCACTGCCAAAGTAGCAAAAATTGTGAGGCTATTTGCACAAATTTTATCTCTAAGTAATGATATGAAAAAAAATAAAAAACCGAAAATTGGTATTTACTGATCTATTGAAAATTAAGGGGCTATCGTTCTGAGATTTTGAGAAAATGGCTTTCAAAATAACAATAAACATGCCTTCTATTCAAAATTGAATGAAACGGGGGGGAGTTTTTACCCCCTTATCCTGCTACAGACTATATTACGAGAAAGAATTCTATATTTAGTTCTTTAATTTTTTTTTAATGCAATAATTTCCTAAAGTGTGAATATTCAATTTTGTTGTATATTTTGAAGTTCTGTATGAAAAATAAATTTACTTTTTGAAGAGACCAAATAATGTGGAAATGATATTTTTTAAAATTAACTTAATTTCTGCATTAAAAGATTGATCAATTACAGGGTTTGGTGTAAAAAGACTTTTCTAGTTGTTCTTCTATCAAAGGATACCCCTGGATAAGGTGATAAAAAGTTCCCCCAAACCAAATGACATATGTGTAGTTACACTATAACTCGAACTTAAAAATAAAAATAAATCCAAAAATGTGTTGTTTTTTATTTTATTTTTTGTTAACTTAGCATTATTGATTAAAGCACAATATGAAAAATTATAGAAAAATATCCTCCTAATTGTATATTTTTTTTATTTTTTCAGCGCCAATATTCAAAAACAGAAAAAATAATTTTGAAACAAAAACACAAAATATTTTTTACTGTGCCTTAGAACTGTGGAACAGACTCAGAAAATCTCAAGAGTTTGTCTTAAAACTCAACTTGCCGATGTTTTTAAGATTTTTTCGCTTGTTGGTCTGTAGTTAAAAAATAAAAATAATTTTCCCGCCTTTAATTCACATTGACTTTAAATATACTTTGAAAATTACTGCAATTATTTTAGTGTTTATTATACATTTGTATACATTGTAGCACTCTGTAATATTTTGACTTTGGAATGAAGTTTTAAATAATCATGAGCTAAGGAAAGAGACAGTTTTTGGCAGTTTATAATACACCATCAGAAGCTTGTGAGTGTGACACTGGTGGATAGAGAATTACATTTCAGATCTACATCGAACAGATAACAAAACAAAAAATTGAAGTTTGCAAATTATGGCATTAATTTCTTTTTAATTAAAAAATATTTTTACAACACACATTATACTGATGAATCACTTCGAAGCGATGTGACTTCGGTCTTTTAAAGCAGGTTTATGTATGCTGTGGGAAACGACATTTTTTTAGGGCAGGTTAATTCGTCAGATGACATGTTTTGGGGGACGGGTAAGTGGTGAGGGACACTTCGGGTGCAAGTGAAGGATAGATAGGGGACAGTGCGGAAATGAAGCGGGCATTCGTTTCGCGGTTAAACTCTCTGAAGTTTTGAAAATTGGAAATTTTGAAATACATTTTTAGATAAGCGAGAAAACGTGCTGTTGTAACACAACTAGATAACCCTTTTTGTATAATGCAACGCTGTTAAAACAAATCGTACAATATTTTCACTTACGATTAAATTAAATGTGAGAAAAAAGATCATTTTGTGCAGCATTAGAGTATCAGCTTGAATTTAATGAAAAGCAAAACATCAGCTACTGGAATTCCGTCTTTTTTGTCCAAGTTGCCCAACAATGAAAGAAAGGATGTCTACGATGATGAAGGCACACATTCCATGAACATACCTATATTACTTTTACTTCAGAAACGTTCTACACAAGAACAATAATGATGAGAAAAATATATAGTGCTTTTTTAAAGGCCTATTTTACACATTTAACACAGTTTTTCGTGTTTATAAATCCGCGGCTGAAATATAACAGTTCTACTGTAAGTATTCTTGCTTGTTTTTTTTTTATACTACTAAGAAAGGGCTACTGTTCCTCACTATCAATATAATTGTAGATATGCACCGCATGCGCTTTGTTTGAATTTGTTTGGACTCTTGCAAGTGATGTCTGAAATTGCAATATTACGTAACCGTTCCCAATAATACGAGAAAGTATGTGCTGTTGAGCAACTCTAATTTTTTTAAATGTCATTAAGGTTTTCTCAAAACCGGCTACCAATTTCTTTAATTTTTATGCTTTAAAAGTTGTACTTAATAACAACGTAGTCGGTGCGATTTTCTGTAAAACCTTGGAATTTCGGGAAATTAAGGCCATATAATTTCAGCATGTTCTACCCCTTTAATATTGTAACTAGAAATTTCTAGTGCTGTATTCATGAAATGTTTGTTTCAAAAATTAAAGATATGATTTTTTTTCGAGTCGTTTAGTTTCAGTTAGTTGGAAGTTTAACAAGAGAAGAGTGAAGTGTTAGTATAAAGATTGGAATGTTATATTATCTAACCGTTACAATTAATACGAATGTAGCTGTTGTAACATTAGCTCTAAATAGATCCAGGTTGTAGATGCTGACTTTTTGACGTGACTACGGAAAAAACTAAATCTGGGAGTCATTTTATTCTATAGTATTTTTGTTGCAGTTGGAGCCCATTGATAGAGATCGCTGTCACCCCGGCACAGTATGGACTCACGGCCACGACAAAATATCACCTTGCAAGTATCAACATGCTTTCAGTAAGTAATGTATACAATTTTGTATACATTATTATTGTATCATTATATTTGTATCATTATATTTGTAATGTGTTTTATTAAGTTTTAATTGCAATTAAATACCTTTTGCTTTTTGTTTCAGCTGTCAGAAAGAAAAATCTGCAGAATCAGACTCCTGTTCCTTTGTCTACCAATCATAACAACAATACTTTGATAGTAATCGGATCTGTCGGGGCATTGACTGCGTTAGTAATACTATGTTTAGCCATGTACAGCGGATTACACTACTCGTTTCCTGAAGCTGGTTCTGGGGACGCTACACGTAAGACAGTTTTATCAAGAATAATGTATGAAATAATCCAAATAAAACTAATATTTCTTGTATAATATTTAAGTGATTGATCTGTGACGGAATAATAATTATTACTAAGAGCAGTAATTCCCATCATTTTTCTTTCATTGACCGCTCTTACGCTTTCTCTACAATATACAGCATCCATAATCATGACGCACATTATTGCACATAAATGCCTTAAAGATAACAATTGCGTACCTCAATATCTATGTGTAAATTACAATAACTTCAAATTAAATGTGTATAAAATGATATAAAATAAAATAGAAACTCATAATCCTGTCGTCATTAATGTAAGGTTTTGGATAACTTGTATAAACAAAATTATAGATTTAGTTTGACAATGTTATTAATCGTGTGTCATTGCATAATTTATATATTCTATATTTTATGTAATTATATGATTATTTAATAAAATACTCTTACATTGTATATATGTTTTGTGATTCTATATATTATATGTATGTATTCTGTAATTTCAGGAAATGCTGAAATACCCAGTTCAAAAATTAACACACATCCTCATGTTCTTCTTTTGTATGCTCAAGACTGCCAGCCATTCATGAAATTAATGAGCACTCTTCGGTCTGTACTTAGTCGGGTTGGTAAATGTGAGGTACGTTTTTTCTTTTTTCTTCTCATATTTTATTTTTAAATATGAACAGTGACACAATTAGGATTTTCGTGCGCCTACCCTCTCCCGGCCTTGCGTTCGACATTGATAACACAGTCTCACAAAAAGGTTGTGTTCGTGTCTGGGGATCAGATCATGTTTTCTACGTGTTTTGGGGTCGCTAAACCCGAATCTGTTGCCCATTTTACTCCCATCACATCAGGTTTTTGACATAACCTCAAAAAAAGATATTTATAACTGAGGGGTCAGACCATGTTGCCTTTAAGTTGTTTGGGGTCGCTGAAACCGTATTTGAAGTCCATTTAACCTCATCATGAAAAATAAATTGTCTTAAAAGCTGATTTTCGACGTTTCCTCCTCAGACATCATGTATATATTCTGACGCAATCCGCGGTACCCCTCTCATAACAGTCACCCACCTTGGCAGGGTACAGGATTACTCAGAATGAATTCTTGTAAACGAGTTTTGTTTATCTCAGGTTAGCAGTATCTTTTGGATGAGAGAGAGGGAGAGAGAGAGAGGGAGGGAGAGAGAGAGGGAGAGAGAGAGGGAGAGAGAGAGAGAGACAGACAGACAGACAGACAGACAGACAGACAGACAGACAGACAGACAGACAGACAGACAGACACGCACACGACACGCTAATCAATGTAAACATTTGGCTTATGTATTCTGAAAAACATTTGACTTTACAAACACACACAAATGAACGTAACAAATAATACTCACAAAAAATCCATTTGATTTGATCGTCGTCAGATCTCACCATATCGAACTTTGCAAAACGCCTTGGATTAAATTTACTCTGTTCGAGCTTAAGGATCCTTTTGAAATTAATTTACTTTGACACTAGTCATCGTGCACAGTTGCGGATTACCAAATCGTACAGTAAACATGTACTATTTTAATAACACAGAAAAAGAAACTAATCCCGAGTGCTCCCAATTGCAATGCTGTAAGCACCCGGGTTATTTGAATTCTCCGATATAACACATTATCGTATCCACAGACGTGGATCTTTCATCCACACAGTTACACCGAACTGATTTACTGTAAACAATTTACAATTCCATAGTATTTCCCTTCCAAATAGAGTAACGAAATACATTGTAAAATCGATATAAGGCCTGACGCAGTTTGTTGCGAATAATTCACCCCGCGCTGACACAGATTTAATTGTACAAAAAAAGTTGATTTTCCTCTTTCTAAACTGCCCTGTTCAGTATATACTGCACTTCCCACAAATTTGCATGTTCAATCAATATGGGCAATATACTAATTCTTTGAATAAAAACCATTTTTACTAACTTAAATCATTTTTATTACATTTCGTACCCATTGCAAATGTTCATCTGTAACAATAATTTTACTGTAGGTGATTTAATGCATTTAACCAAAATTTAATATGAAGAGAAGTTATTCAAGTGGTCTCAAAAACGAAAACTAGTCGAGGAAAAGAAAAAAGAAAGTTGAAGGAATCATTAAGAAATTACCCAAATTAACTTCGTTTTTTCAACCATCTGCATCGCCGTCAACATCACAAAATGTTCCTGATCGTGGGGAGGATGTGGCAAAGGAGGAAACGATGTCAGAATTATATGCTTATTGAAGATAACGATAAAAACCCATGAATTCAAAATTTTGTTGATCAAAATAATAGAATTAATTATCCTGGCAGGAGGACTGCCTTTAATGCGGATGATACCACCTACTCTATAAATCAAGGACCGCAAAATTGCCAACATCACTGAGGCCTATTTGAAAACACGCAGGACTTTTCAAGATGAGAAACAATCGCGATTTTTCTTTTAAAATATATTTCATAATAAAAAATGGTGAAAAGTACATCGAGAGTGGCTGCTGTATTTTCCATCGAATGTCCTGTCGCGATTTGTAACCTGATTTAATGACTGGCGCAATAAGGGTGTCATTGATCAACGTGAAAATTCACTGTCACAGAGCGGCAATGCTTGCATTTTTGTCTCGACGAAAAGGAATTAGACTGGAGTCTTACTTAGATGACCAAATCAAGGAAGAACGCAAATTCTACGAGCATCAAATAAGAACTCAAATACTGGTAGCATCATGTTTTGCAACGAGTTGCAGTCGGTATTCAAACGTTAGCAGAGCGAGGATTACCTATCCGAGGGTCAAATGACAAATTTGGATCGGTCAATAATGAAAATAATTTGGGATTGCTAGAACTGATCGGTAAATTTGCTCCATGTTTGGACTCTCTCACTTCAAATTTTGGAAATTGGGGAAAAGGTAATCATATCTCAGAAAAATCGCCTATAATAACAATTTTTTAAGAAGAGATTTGACAATTTTTCACCATTTTTTTACAGGAAGTGTGTCATACTTGCCGAAAACTATATGCGAACAGTTTAATGAACTAAAAAGTTAACAAACTCACTCTCACTCACTCTGAAGTAAGAGTTTTTGGATATTTTAGTTTGTCCGTCGATTCAACACCTAATCTATCTCACGTTGATCAATTGTCCGACATAATAAGATGTATATAGCCGTCAGACGGATTTCTAGGAGAATGATTTTTAACATTTTTGAAACCAGAAGATCATGTTGGAAAACCAATTGCGACTCAGGTTTTTAATTATTTATGTAAAGATTGGAACTTCGATTTTTCCAAGTGCAGAGGACAATACTGCGGCAAGTATGTCCAGTGGATATAAAGGAAGTGTTATTTGAGAAAAAAATTCATATGCAATATATATATCGCCATGTGTTGCACATTCACTACATTCATTGAATCGTGTTGGTCAGTCAATGGTGCAGTCAATTGTTGTGTGGAAGCCGTCAATTTTTTTTTATTAGTGCAAACACTAGGCACATTTGTTTCGACTTCAACACACAGATGGATGTACTTAAAACATGTTGGCAATGAGTCGTCACTGCCCTGTCACTGTCACCCAAACATGTCGTCACTGCCCTGAGGAAGCCTGCGAAACGTCGGCACCCCAGCCAACGACGCGGCGTCTCCCGGATAGCCGTGAATTTATGGACTCGAGCCGCGGAAGCTTACGTACACATGTTGGCAATGAGAATCTTTTAAAGAAACTTTGGGATTCGCGTTGGGAAGCGAGCGCTGTTGCCACGGAAGCAATACTTGATTCATATTCTCAAATTCTTTACGCGTTAGATTTTATCTCCGATGATAATGATAAAAGGAAGAAACTAAGCGAGATGCAGCAAATATCGCTACAAAAATGCAAGAATTTGAGATCGTTTTTCTGCTAACAATGTGGAATGACATTTATTCATTACTTTTATCATATTCTACATCAAGCTCGTTGGAGTGCAGAAATCAATTTGAAAGTTTACAGTGCTGTTGAATGATATGAATATAATATGATATGAATCGTTGACAAATAATTTGCCATATCTACGCGTAGACAAAATCGAAAACGCGACGAAATTAATTCTGCCTGATGTTGATTATAAAGAAAATCCTGTCGAAGAAATACTCCGAGTGAACAGGTTAATGGTGGTCAAGCGGAAGACGTAGTGCAAGAGACAAATTTCGGGTTGAACTTTTTATGTGTACATTGACACATTGCATTGCCTTTTTTGTTAAACATGGACTAGTCTAACTATGTGTTATCATCTAACGTTGAAACGCTTGTCGCATCGTATCTTGAGTATCTGGATTTCAATCTTGTCGGAAAATTGAAACAATTTCATTACATACTTTTCAAAACGAACGAAGATAAAAGTATTCATGTTAATTATACTGATTTCAATAAAATCATTAAAAATGATAAACTCTAGTCAGTTTTTTCGAACTTAGAACTCTGCCTTAGAATGTTTTTACCATCGATCTTTTTCACAGTTAAAAGATATAAAAAATCTCTGAGGGTGACAATGATACAAGATACATTAATTCATTGGCTTTACTATCAGTTGAATCTGATGTTATGCGTCGCTTAAATTTCGATGATTTAATAAAAGAATTTGCTTGGCAAAAGTTTAGAAAGAAAATGTGTTAAATGAGTTATATTTTATATATCTACTACACATATGAATAGACAAATGTAAAACCAAAGTATTAATGAATGTATTTATTGATTAATAAATGAAATGCATGAATATTGTATTAATTTTTTTGTTAAGTTATATTTCAATTTATCATAAATTTATGAACAAAACTATAAACATCCTATTTTGATCGATTTTAAATTACAAGTTGGAGTTTGACGTATACATATAGATAAAATAATTGATCAAGGGCCACCCAGAAATATTTACTGCGTAGAGCCCCGCAGACTGGTAATCCGGTCCTGGAGTGATCCCATTGGAGGTGCAAAGGGTAGTAGCTCGAACGAATTGGAGTGCGCAAGTGGAAATAAATGAGAGTAAGTTTGGTGGCCGAAAGTACCATCGTGGCGAGATAGTGGTTGGGAAATGGGTGTTCAGGCGTTGGGAGAATGACGAAGCACGCCTTTCTCAAGGTTTTTAAGAGGCACGGCAGAGAGGAGCATCGAGGCGTTATTAAGTATTTCATCAAGACGGGATCCATCATGTGCTCGGACTGTTGGAAGTCTTGTAACTTCCTTGAAAGCGAGGTTTTTCAGCATTTCGCTGTGAACTTCTGTGTGCTTTAAACACTCTGAAACAGGAGCACACACGAACCGTATAGAAGGCAAGCGCAATGGATTGGAGTGTGCCTCGGCGCCGCGCAGCAACCATCTTGATAGCTTCCTGGCAGAATATGTTTCCAACCGCTTTGAAAGGGGGCGAGGGCCCTGGTAACAAAAAAGTGGGCAAATTCAATTGCTAAATTTAGAAAACAAAAATCCTGTATACGTGGTGTAGATAGACTCCATGTTTTGTGGGTCCTTGATTCGGAAATATCGATTGACGGCAATCGTCCATCCGTCCGTCCGTCCGGCTGAACAGTTTGTTCACAGACAATTTTCTTAAGAATTGATATATCGTGTTGTTTCTAAATACTCCGCAACATTCCCGAGTTCTAGAACAACACACATTGATATTGAGCCATTCTTTCGCTCCTCTAATACTACTCTTACAACAACACATTTTATATTAACGAAACGTGAAAGCAACATTACGTTTACAAAAAATAATGTCAGTCCAGTTTCATGGGCAGGAATCAGGAAAGTCTTTGTCCTCTGTACTATTACTATTTAGCTTTCAATGGACGTTGAAGTATTTTATACGCTCTCCAGTAAAATAAATTTAGTCTTCGTAGTTCGATCTAGAGAACGTAGTTTCGAAAATAATCGTTTGATAGAGCTGTCGGCAAGCAGGGTTGTCCATCGCCATTAACCTCTCTGGCCAAGCCATTTTCGACGCAAAAATAAATGTTTTCATGTATACGAGAAATTAAAAATCAGATTTGCAAATACACTTTGTGTATCTTGGGAGCGAAAATCTCTATTTTCAAATGTTGCTAACCTCGCTTGTTTTAAAATATATTCATCATTCTATTATTTATAGTGAAAATGATGGGAAGATATTCTAAAGCTCACGTACACACGTACGCCACATATAGTTTTTACTCTTCTTTGACTAAATAAATGAAAATATATCAAAACCAATTTTTATTAGTTTGTTTATATCGTATGATCTAGAACACATTAATTCCTGGTAAATGTTCAGTAGACACTGTATCAGGTTTTGAGTTTCTGTACATCTTTTGTTTGTAATTTAGAAGTTGCCGGAAATGTATAGTAAATCTAACCTCACAAAAGTCACAGACGAGCTGGAAGAGAAATGTTTTGTCATGGATAACAAAATTAATTACAAGGTACAAAAATATTCTAAATTAGAAAATGTGCACATATTTTTGCCATTTTCACATTAATTTTGCCTTTTCGCCGGCTAGCATTTATCCACACTTATTTTTCGCGTATGAACATTACTTTCTCTCATTCGTCTTTCCTTTGGTATTATTGTATACGTACATGTATAGCACACCCATGCATCTTATAACACACCGAAACTATTGAGTTGATTAAATTTCAATGCTATATGTAAAAATGTATGAGGATCGTCAAATATTACGCTACAATTTATTATGGAAAACCAGCTCGAAATACATCAACCACACGTCTCTAGGATGACATGCGCAGCGGCAATGCATTTAAGGAAACTATTTTTCCTTACCCTATGATGAAATATTATTATCGAATATCGCGTATAATCTGTTATTTATTTTAACTGAAGTTAGTTTTTGGCGTTAAATGTCACTAAATAACTAATAGTAATTTGGGCACTTGCGAACAGGCATTAATTTGGTGCATTGTCTCTTAAACTTCTCAAACAGGAGGGGAATACAAGTCCTCTGAGCGTTTCCGAAACATGGAATTTCAAAACACGCGACGTTAGGATACAGCGATTGACAGGGGAGTGAAGATGAAACAACAGTGGCTTAATGGACGGAAGGAGCAATTGGTTGTGTTTGCGGGTTCCTGGACATGTCTCGAAGCGATGACACTCAGCAACACTAGTTTGTAGGAGACGTACGTGTGACATTGAACGAAGGAAATGTGAGGTACCTGTCCACTGAAAGAACTTTCATCACTTCCAATAGTTTACAACAGTTCACTAGCGCGCGAAACGCGAACGTATTGTTGTGTAGTGTTGCATTCATAAGAATTGTCTTAATTTAATATTATAGGCACATTCTCTTATATTTTGAAGTGAGTTGAAATTACAAATCCATTTCGAATTAATGAAAACTCAAATGCTTTTTGTAAACGTAGGAAGTTGGTAACTTTTTTAATGCGTTTTGGAAACCGAAGTTTAATGCTCGTTTTTCTTTGATGAAAAAGTTACTGAAAAAACAGCGTTGAATTGACTTTGTGTTTCGCCACACAGTGTAGGCGGCAAATTATCTAGATTGTATTCGGTAACTTCATCTGTTAGCCTAAAATTTATACAAGCTTATCAAAAATACTCCCTAGCGTAGCGAAATTTGTGTGGTCAGACGGAAGAGCAGACCTCATGGCCTGAGTCTCAATAAGGCATCAATTCAATTCAAAATTACGTGTAAAAAAAGCTTTGAATCTACGTGTACAATAGAACTCTTAAAACACTGGAAAAAACTGTTCTGGAACGTGCTGAGTAGATATGCGTTAATCCGAGTAGTAGTAAACATTTCGGAGGGGTCCTTGCCAAGCGAAGTCGAAGCAAGTGTTTTGAAAAGAAATGCGGTAAACCCTCACTGCTGATGAAAGATACCGTTCAACATACTTTCAGACTTCATAAGATATATATTTAATTGTTATGATATCTGTTAATGAATATAAATGGATGCACGTAATGTATGCCTTTTCTAAATTAGTGTGTATGTATGTATGAGAGAGGGGGAGGAAGGGAGAGAGAAGAAAGACCCTAATGGCATGGCCACGTGCCGTTATATATATTTATTTATATTGTGTGTATAAGAAAGCTAATACTTTGTAATGCAATTTTTAGGTGCTGGATTGTTTTGATCCTGCATGTGCGGAGTTTGTGGCTGCTGCCCCAGAAGATTGGATGTTACGAGCGGTGTCTGTGTGTCGCGTCGTCCTTGTTATTAATGACTGTGGTGCAGAACTTCAGAGAAAATCAAGTTTGGTCCATGCATACAGATATCCATTACCTTTCTGTCACTTGTTCCTCGTGGGACTCAAACATGTTATGGGAAGTCTGTCTTCCCGCGAATATTGCAGAGTGTTTGTTGTAAGGTAATTGTTATTCATTATTTGCCAATGCAGTGTTTTAATTTTTATTGCTTTCAGACGTAATGTCTGGGAGACTGTTCAGGTAGAATAACATATTGTTTCTCTTCATTTCGTCTATTAACCTGTCCAATTCCAACTCCAATTATGGAGTCGTGTGTCAGGAACCTCTCCAAAATTTCTATATATGTTTCTCTTATTTTATTTTCATATTTGTTCCATTTCACCTAATAATCACGACGTTAACTTATCCCCCTCTTCCTGTGATTCCTCTTCGTGAACTTTTGCTATTTCGTGAACATTCAGAAATTTGATTGAAAATGAGATCTGCGCCATTTTTAAGCGTTTTTTACGCTATCTGAGGAGGAAGTTTAATGAAAATAGTTTTGAGAAAAGTTTGGGGTTTCATGTAAACTACTCCAACTAGTGGTCCTCAAACAGCACATACTACTTTCGCGCCCCGAAATATTATGTAATATAATATCGCATTTCTGTCTGTATCTACACGTCTCCGTGAATGAGCGCTTACAACAAAGCGCGCATGCAGCGATGAGCCCTGCCAACAATTGGCACATATTTTTTTAACCTGTAGTTGGTGTGAAACCTGTATATACTATTTCCTTAATTTCAACCAGAAATAACGTAAACACTACTCCTTTTTTCAAAAAATTGTTCATAACCTTTTTTAAAAAGCTAATTTTGTATAACAGACGTTTTTGTCTGAAACAAAAATCTCTATTTTCAATTTTGTAGTTTTGAAATGTTTTTGCATTTTTGAAAAAAAAACAACAGCAATACCCGAAAGTGATGGTAGCACTAGATTTCTTACCGATCCTTATTACATATGCAGAGAAAAATTTTAAAAAATATTTGGAGCGGAATTTGAGATTTTTTGTTTTTTGTAAATTTCATTCTCAAAATACTGCTGCTTTTCTTTTTTTTCAAAACATTGTACATCAATTTTTCTAAACAGCTAATTTTCTACAACAGTCTTTGTCCGAAAATATCTTGAAAATATCTTAAAAATCTAATAAATTTGCAGTTTTGAAATGGTTTTTGCAGTTTTCTAAAAAAACAAGCTGTACCCGGAAATGATACTAGCTCTAGATTTCTTACCTTACCTAATTACATATGTGGAGCAAATCTCAAGAAAAAATTTGGAACAGTTTTGAGATTTTTTGTTGTTGTAAATTTCAATCGCAAAATACGCAAAAACTGCTCGGTTATTTCACAAAATTGTACATGACCTTTTCTAAAGAGCTAACTTTGTACAACAGATTTTTGTCTGAGACAAAAATCTCTATCTGCAATTTTGAAGTTTTAATTTTTTTCCAATTTTCAAAAAATCGGGAAGTTAACAAAAATGAGATCTGCAGCATTCTCCCAAACATCTTGTACACTATTAAATGACAAAATTTAATCAAAGAATGTGGTTTTTTTTATTTTAAAAATGTCCCAGGGGCTTCATGTAAAGTACTACATAGAATTAAAATATCGGTTTCAAATTCCAAGGTCCGCAACATATAACGATATAGAACGCGAAATAGAACAATTAGGGAATATCAATTTTGGTGAATGTACTGAGCGGTTTTACAGACGGTTTACTAGCGTTGTGCACAGACAGACACGTTTTTCCGTTAATCGATTTTTCGGTATCAAAGACCCACAAAACACGGATTCTGGCTACACCACATGTTAGAGGAAATTTTTTCTATATTTTGCAACTGCATTTATCCGCTTTTTTCTTACCAGGGCCCGGCAATAAGTGTTTTTGTGTCGAAAAATCACCCCTTTCCGGCACACGGTTACAATACTATCTCTTCTTACGTGAGTCAGTGCGAGAAAGTAAAAAATCAAAATATCCGTTTTAACTTCTCAAGGATTCGAGTTCGTTCAAATCGATCGAAGAATATCAATTTTGGAGAAACCCGTCTGAACGACTTAGGCGCTATCATTGGCGACTGACTGGCGGAAAGACATACGGTTTGTTGTCAATCGAATTTTTCGGAATCAAGGACTCACAAAACGGGGATTCTGACTACACAAAATGGTCAACGCTAATGTCTAAGCAGTTCAGACATTTTACTCCAAATTTTATATTCTGCGATCGAATTAGCTGAACTGGAGCCCCTGTGAGTTTTAACTGAATATTTTGATTTTTGGGAGGTACTTCACAAGAAGAATAAATGTAACTTCAAATTAACTTCTCCCCATAGCACGTCACACACAATTTTTAACTGTTTTTGACGTATAAATTTGCTCCAAATCTTTTCTAAGTTTTTTGTGCGGATATGGCACATGTGCTTGAAAAATTAGCGTAGGCTATGTTAAAATGCCCTTCTACACGCCTAAATTCATAGGAGATTCTTTCGGTACCTGGCAGGTGCCAGCTGCTGAAGAAACATCACTTTTCTGCGGTGGGTGACGCCAGGCTGTGAGGCAGTCGAACGCTTCCAATCGCCTTGATCGCAGAATGTAGAACCCTCAACGTAGAACATGACGCGCGTTGCGGCGTGGAATCTCAAGTAACGCCAATCTTAAAACAGAAGCAAGCAGTCCGGCGTCTCCGCCGCCAGTTGTAGCCGACGCAGGACACTGCCTTTGTGTCCGCTGTGAAACAGAGGCACCAGGTTGAACAGTGTGAGGCAGTGTGATCAGTTTTCTGTTTTTTCTATACATGATTCGATTCGAATTTCTTGCTCAGTGCAGTCCACTAGTCCGAAACTCTTCTCGACAACAGGCACCGCCAAACTACCAATTGCAGATATTTTATTCCTGGAATCCAGGGCGGACTTCAGGACGAGTCTCACTTTTCTGTAAAACTCCTTGCGAATTCTCTCTTTCATGGTGTCGATCGAAATGTTCTCACATTCTTCAGTGTCCAGATATTTGTAACTTTTATCTAGCTCATGATCTTGAATCACAGTGTTCTCATTATCCTAAATCACAAACTTCAGTGCTCTCTGACGTCACTTTGCCTCTCTTTAATTTGATTTTTGCACACTTCTCAAGACCAAACTTCATGCAGAAATTATTGCTAGAGTCACTCACGACAAAGAACAGCTGAGAGAGAATCGCGTCATTCTTAGAAAATACTGCAAGATTAATGTAAAATAAATGTGATACAGGTCTTTCCTCACCATGGAGAGTGTAACAACTGTCTAGTGTGCGACAACTGCCTAGAAAGTAGTATCAAACTGATGCAAAACATCAAAGGGGATAGAAAAACTCCTTGAAAAATACACTTGTTAATCTGAGTACTTGTTTTTACTGCTTCCTTTCCGCTGTATATTAGTAACTTGGTGCCCCGCGACATCGTACTTGCCTTGCAAAACTCAATACGTCTAGGATGAAATCGATACATCCCCAGGGTCTTCAATATCCAATCGTGTGTTACACTGTCAAAGGCCTTTAACTGGCAACAAATGGCTCTTATCTAGGTGCCTGTACATTTTGTCAGCTATGACTGCAGTTATAATTTCGTACTTTACTTGCAGACACGTGATTGGTCTGTAGTTCTTCGCCAAAGAGCTGGCCTCCGCTTTGGGTACCAAATACATGATGCCGCGCATTCCACGAGTTCCTTTGGTTTTCCTAAAATTGTATTAACAGTCTTTGCTAGATGAGAATGTATTGTTGTATTTTCTTAACCCAATAATTGTGGATTTTATCAATACCGGAGGATTTCCAGTAACCTATGTCCTTAATTGCTTGGAAGAGGTCCTCTTTGGAGAATTCGTTAACATGTACCACTGTTACCACTAGTTTATCTGCACCACCAACTACAGATTCACGCGAAGATACGCGAAGATACGATACATGCTTGGATTTTCTCTTTTAGCTTCTCAGCTACCATTAGCCTACTTCTGTCATTTCCAATTTGTTTTTTTTGTTCAACATTGAATATTTTTCGTTGAACTTTAGAGGTGTGAGTTGATTTAGACGATTCCTCGGCTAGGAGTGATATTTCAAGCTGACATGGCTTCATTTCCATAATTATTTTCGTCCATGGGGTTACGGGGCTGTTTACTCTGTTTGGCTCTGAGCCGTTGGTATTTTTGGCTGGCCCCAAAATTATCCGATATCAGAGATACAATTGCATTCACAATATGATTGATTTCAGTAATATCTAGATATCTACCTGTAGTGCTTAACACCTCGTTTAAGAGAGAATTCGCTAACATTCTCTTAGTTTTGGCATTTTTGTATATTCTGCTCAACAGTGCACGAGATTCGAATAGAAGTTGACGAAGTCTATCTCGCGTCGCATCTTTCACATCACGTCCCAATCATGTGATTCATTGCGTGATGAATTTTCACCACCGACGGCTGTTTCATTGGAAAGAGATGAATCTTGAACAGGACCATCGTTTTCAAGGTCTACATGTTCGTCATGTGGGTCGAATACTTCCCTGAATGTCAGAAGGTTGTTCTACTGTAAATTTTCCATTGATGAGTATGTATTGTCGTTGACTGGCAAGCTTCTTTGAATCAAGAGTAGGTATCTGGATTCCGCTCTCTCCATATCTTAAAAACTTTTACTTCTCAGCCGCCATTTTTGGCTTTTGCATAGTAAATGTACCACATCACCTCCTTCAATTCTTCAAGTCCATCTCTGACTATGGCTTCGAGCTACTACATCCTCTCTGGGTCTAACAAGAACTACATCCTCTCTGGGTCCTTCGAAGAACGCTGATGTAAACAAATCCGAGGTACATACATACATACATACAAAATTGTTCTACAAAAAGGACAGAAAGAAACGTTCAGAAAAAAGTTATACTCTGTGTAAAGATGAAACCTTTAAAATGATATAGTGAATTTTAAATGATCTTAGCATATTTTCTTAGAAAAATACTTTTTCTTTTCTTTCGAAATCCACGATTCAGATTTTTTTAAATTTCGACTAAATATAACAAATTTATATTGTCACAATATGTTCTATTTTAATCATAAGACTTCATTTCTCTATATTCGAGATGTATCGAAAACGTTAACAAACATGTATTTCTTTATATTTTCTCAATTTTCTTCTCATCCCTTTCATATCTATCTCTCCTTTTCGCTTCTATTTTCTCGATCTCTCGATATTTTTATGTTTGTTTCTTCTTCGTGTCTCCCAAGGGAAACCTAGTCGATGACAGTATACAGTTTGCAAGAAAAACTTAATCATTCATTAGTTTAAAATGTAAATTTCTAAAGTATTGCTCGTACAGGCGAATAAACGTGATAAATTGTAATTTTGATCAATGTTTATTGATGAAAAATACCTATGTTAATGTACTTTGTATTTTATTTTCAGATTTGATAGCCAAGAATTGAACTGGATCACTCCTCATATTCGATTTTTATTACCTCATAATTTAAGTGATTTATTGAGACATCTTAATCCGTAAGTATACTTATTATAATGAATTTTTGTTACCAGCAGATCAACAAAATATGAAAATTTGGGTTTCAACCTAAAACGAAAGTTGATGTTAACGCAGGATTATAATTCTTGAGAAATTTACTCACACGTCATTTAAAAAAAGAATGCAGTTATATTTAAAAAAATTATACACGTAATTAATTACTATCGTAAATAATTGAATGCTAGTGGCATGCAGCAGCAAAAATCCTACTGAACACAACGATAAAAAAGTATTTTCGTCAGAAACGACATGACAAATGATATTCCTCAGAAGTAACGTGTTGTGTTAGAATTCCTATGCTGTGAGAATGAGACGGTGACAGACATTCACAAGAGGTTAAAAAATGTTTATGGAGATGATGCTGTTGATCGCAGTGGGTGGGCTTCCAGATTATCGGGTGAATTAGGCTAAGCGTGTACTCGGATTTCCCCCGCAGCGGCAGACCTCTCTCGTCACATTCTCCTGACAATGTGCAATCACAACCTCATTTTGGCCGACAAACAGTAACTGTGAAATAATTGTCAATGAGTGGATATAAGAGAAGCGAGTGTGTGCAGAATATTGAAAGAACTGCAGGTGAAAAAGGTTTGTGCCAGGTGGGTTCCAGGAGATGACTTTCTTTTAAGAGCTGCTAAGCAGTTGCTCAGTTGTGCTGGTCCAGACGTCTACCGTGCGTGTTCCCTTTTCCAAGATGGCGTAAAGCAAGTACAAAGAGATGGAGATAATGTGGAGAGGTGACTTTTTATTCCTCAAAGATGGATCAACATACTGTAAAAATTAAACAGGTTTGGAAAATAAATTGAATGTTTTAAAAATTGTTGTGCATTACTTTTGGAGTGACCCTCCTAGTGCTTTTTAGCACAAAACCGACTACGAATAAAATTAAAATGTGGTTGACAGTGCGGGGGAAGTGATAACGTTAGTTCCATAATATGAACAACAATATTAGATAGATAGATTTATTAAAGTTCGCTTTGAGCTAATGCTCGGTGGCAAACATGATAACAAT